TATCTAAACAAAATTTGACCAACAAAGTTGGTGAATTGTACAACAGCATTATCATGAACAATAACGTAATTTCACCTGTTGTCTCGAATAAATGTTTGGGAGTTGATCTTGATGAGAGATTGACTTTTGACATCAATATTGAAGAAATATGTAGGAAGATCTGTTCAGGCATAGGAGCATTGAGGAGAATTAAACCATTCGTTCCGCAGACCTCTCTTGTTACATTATACAAATCATTAATTCAACCGTATTTTGATTATTGCTCTCCCCTGTGGGATACATGCGATAAAATATTAAAAGATAAATTGCAAATATTACAAAATCGTGCGGCTAGGGTTATCACTGGAGCAAGATATGATGATAAGATTAGATCAAGTGATCTTTTGGAAGGTTTAGGATGGGATAATCTACATGTTAGGCGGGCTAAGTTGAAGAGTATCCTAATGTATAAAATCCTTAATGAAAATTGTTCGCCATGTTTAAGAGAAAGCCTTGTAAGACTTAGTGAACTTTATAGACGCCATAATTTACGAAATCAGGAAACGGATCTAGCACTTCCAAAACCAAAAACTAATTTTTTGAAGAGAAGCTTTAAATATAGCGCATCAATGCTGTGGAATAATCTTCCATTAGATGCAAAAAGAGCGACTTCGCTCAGTCAATTTAAGCGTAGTATTGCGGAACTGTCCTTTTAGAACCATGTTGACTTAATTATAGTTAACTCTCTTTATTTTCTTTACTTGACTTTATTTTTCTCAATTTGTTGTTGGGGGGAGGTTGGGGGGTTCATATAATATTCCATATATTCTACTGTTTTATATATCACGCCCCTCCTGTAAATCAGCTTTTAGTTGTGCGAGGCTAGCGTGTTTTGATTTTAAATAAAATTGATTGATGATTACGCTGTAAAGAATGTCTTCGAGCCAAGGTGAAGCTAAAAAAGGGCTCAGTCGTGGTCGATACTGAAGTCGAGACAACAGCGAATGTTGGGCGTCTTACGATAGAAGAATTGAAGGCGGCTCAAGATGAAATCCTTCGACATGTACAACTAACTGCGTTCCCAGAAGAATTGAAGATACTCACGGTTGCTGAACGTGCTAAGAAACCGGATAAAGTATTCCTCCGGAAGACAGGAATGTCACTTCGACAGTTGAATCCACAATTGGAAGGCGGATTGTTAAGAGTTGGTGGTAGACTCGTTAACGTGCCAATCGATGGTGATTCAAAGCATCCGATTATTTTGCCCTTCAGACATCCCGTTACAGAAATGGTAATTCGTCATTACCATGCGGACGTGGGACACATGGGTCAAGATTCCGTCCTTTCTTCATTAAGGAAAGAATCTTGGATTGTGAAAGGAAGAACGGCGGCATACGTACGACGCGTGGTGCGAAGCTGCATTAGTTGTCAACGGAGAAAGGCTCGTTTGGGAGAGCAGTTTATGGCGAATTTACCGCAAAGCCGTCTAACGCCAAATCAACCACCTTTTACGCGTGTCGGAGTTGATTATCGCGGACCATTACAAGTAAAACAAGGACGATCGGTTGTCAAACGATATGACTGCCTTTTCACGTGTATGGTAACGCGAGCAGTGCATATAGAGATCGCGCATTCTTTGGACACCGATTCTATGATAAACGCGCTCAGAAGATTTATCAGTATACGAGGTTGCCCATAAGAGATAAAGAGCGATAATGGAACGAATTTTGTGAGAGCTGACAAGGAACTGAACCGAAGCATTGAAGAATGGAATCATACCAAGATCCACAATTTCTGCGCACAAAGAAGAATTAAATGGGACTTTAACCCACCGTCCGCGAGTCATATGGGTGGCGTGTGGGAGCGTTTGATAAGGTCAACAAGACAAGTTTTGAGAGCTACTCTAAAGGAACAGTTGGTTTCTGATCTGATGAAGTTTTGCAGACCTTGATGGCTGAAGCAACCCAAATCTTGAACTCAAGACCTCTCACAAGAAACAGCGACAGTCCTATGGATGAAGACCCTTTAACTCCAAATCATCTGTTACATTTACGCCCGACGTCGAGCTTACCTCCAGGCGTATTCGACAAAAATGGCTTGAGCTGCAGAAAAAGTTGGAGACAGGCACACTATCTTGCTAATGTCTTCTGTCGTAGATGGATAAGAGAATATTTACCAAGCTTACTGGAAAGAAAGAAGTGGAATATCCCAAGAAGAAACTTAAAGATAGGAGATTTGCTGCTCATAGCAGATGAAAACTACCCAAGAGGACAATTAATGGCCATTGGCAATGGTGACGGAAGTTATGCCGAGTAAAGACGGTTATGTACGCACAGTGATATAGTAAAGACCAGTTTGACAGTATCATCCCTAGCGAAACACCGAAGAAGGGGAGAGAACAAGATCAATACAACGATACTAACACGGCCTGTGGCAAAGTTGTGTTTGCTTGAAATTGACGGAGAGTGACCTGGCTAGGACTATCAACCTTTTGAACTAAACAGTAAAACTTGACAATTATATTATATTTGTGTTATAGGTTAAGAACGGTGGCCTTCATGGACTTTGTAAATGGACTATTAGTATATGCCCATTTAGGGGCCGGTGTAGCTACCGTATGGATTTTCCCGCCTTGCGCATGCGCAGTGGACGCATTTTTGGCATGGCAAATAGGGCGGCCATGTTGTTTTGTTTAGTTTGTTTAGCCGTGGAACTAAACGGTTCTAAAGTACAAGTACAAATACTGGATTTTTTATATTTTGACGTTTGGTTCAAATATATGTTAATTTTATTAAACATCAGGTACTATAGTCGGACTATAGTAACAAAATGCGTTAATTAACTTTATCTCATTTTAAATATTATATATAAGTTTTATTATTAAGTTTTAATAAGTGATTACACTTCATAATACTGAGTTTATAAGAATAAATTTTACTACGCCCAATACTGCCAGCCCTCCAATGAACAAACTTTCCCTCTTCCCGTCTCCTACCTTTGATCCGCAGCCCAACCCTACTATACAAGACATCCCCGTCATATTATCTAGTCGCCAACCCCCTAAACATTGCCGTTTTCAGCGCAATTTAAATAATCTTATTCAAGTAAATATTACCAATGCTGCCGAACCTAATCGTGCTATCGGCGATCGTACCAAGAAAACTATACTTCCGAAAATTTCTTTAATAAACGCCAGATCACTTTTACCAAAGTTACCGTGTTTAGAGGTGCCGAGACTTGGAATGCTCTCCCAATTGACCTGAAGTCGTTAGGAAGTATAGCAACTTTTAAGAGTGGGGTAAAACAATGCAGATTGATATAATGTTAAGTCATAAAAATTTTTTATATTTATAGTAGTTAGCACACGGCCTATTGGAAGATCAATTTTTTTCTGGTTGTTCTTGTAAATAATATATTTTTAATATAATGTGAAATAGTACCGTGTTTAAATAAAGTTGAAGTTGAAGTTGAAGTTGCCTTGCTTCAATCCATCATTATCCATGGTTATAATCTTTTTCGTAAGAACCGGGCTAATCGCCGAGGTGGTGGCGCGTGCATATATCTATTCGAGCTTTTCCATGCCAATCGCCGAACCGATCTCGAAAATGATAATTTCGAATGCTTGTGGCTTTGGCTGCGCCCCCTCGTTTACCTAGACCCCTTTGTAACATAGCAATTTGCGCTGTTTACCATCCACCTGGCCTACCCCAGGACGATTATCAGTCACCCTAACATTCGAATATCTATCTTCCACCATTTTTGTTTCTGTGCAACCGATACCCTAATTGTGGTATCGTCCTTCTTGGGGACTTTAACGACCTAGAAATATCTCTTCTGTCAGCAAGACATAATTTAAAGCAAGTGGGCAAAGCCCCAACTAGAGGTTCATCAATCCTTGACCTCATCATTACCAACTTATTGAAGTATTATAGAACCCAACAACTCCGCCTACCACCACTTTAACCATCCGACAATATCGTATTATGGGCCCCCTCTTCAATTATTTCTAGCCATTGTACTGAACCTAATGATGCATCGGTTTCCTCAATCTAGTATTGATGCCTTTGGAAGGTGGGCCTCAACGCGTAAATAGTGAGCTTAAGCAAGTGACGTTTTTGACAACACGGACGTCGACCGGAAGTAAAGTTGACGTTTTTCACCAATCACAGCCCTTGACCCAGTCTTCTGACGTTACTCATGTCGTTCGTGTTGACAAAAACGTCACTTGCTTAAGCTCACTAATGGTTCGAGGAAGTAGCTCCTAACACCACGGTGGACAACCTAGCATCTTCTTTCACATCACGACTGGCCCAGGTAATCGATCGTATTTTCCCTCCTAGAACAGTGCAACGACATGTTACCGACAAACCTTGGATGACACCAGAAATCAAGAACCTTATAAAAGACCGCCTGAAAGCCTTCCACAGTAACAATACACCCCCCCCCTCCCTTTGAGTGGAAAAGAAAGTCATTTTACAGAAATAAAGTCAACCACTTAAAGTCTAGCGACACGCGCAAATGGTGGAAAATGGGAAATAAAATGTCGGGAAAACCAGAGAAAATTATATCTTTCTCCATGGAGCGCGGCAGTATAACTTTGAACAGTGAAAGTCTCGCATCCTCCCTCAACGAATTCTATGTGTCCGTAAATTCAGATATCCCACCCCTCCACAAAGACTCCCTGCCAGCGTTCCTACCTTCAAGAAATGGCGTCCCTATTATTCAACCATATGAAGTTTGTAACAAACTCAGTGCGCTTCAAACCCACAAAGCAACACGTCCTGACAGAATCCCAAACCGAATTCTGAAAGAGTTTTCTTTTATTCTAGCAGAACCAACCATTTTTGACAAATCACTACCTTCTAGTGTCGTACCAAAAATCTGGAAAGAAGCAAACGTCATCCCAATCCCAATGATCAATCAACCAGAGAGCGAAAACGACACTAGACCTATATCCCTTACCCCAGGCCTATCCAAAGTCTTGGAAGACTTCATGGTTAGATGGATGTTGGATGTTGGATGACGGATGCCTAAAAGGACTATTTACTACCCACTGTCTCCTTGACATGCTCCATACTTGGTTATCCCAGCTTGATTCACAGAATAAACACATTCGCATCTGTTTTTTGGACTTCTCGAAAGCCTTTGATCGAATCGGCTATAATATTGTTATTGACATACTGATCGACCTGGGTGTTAGAAGACCTCTTATTCCGTGGATAATCAATTTTCTAACGAACCGAAGACAACGAGTAAAGATTGGTAGATCACTTTCTAACTGGCTCCCCGTGATAGCTGGGGTTTCCAAAGGGACAAAACTAGGCCCTATTTCACTCCTTGTCATGGTTAATGATTTGAAGATAAGCTCACCTGATACAAAGATGTGGAAGTTTGTAGATGATAGCACGGTGTCCGAACACCTTACTGGGAATATATCGTCAGCTAGTAACTCAACCAACCCTTTAACCTCATCGAATCATGGTGTTCCAACAATTGGATGATTCTTAACCCAATAAGATGCAAGGAACTTAGAATATGTTACCTTAAAAGATCCGTCGAATTCCAGCCTTTAACAATCGCAGGACGCGAACTAGAAATAGTTCACTCCCACAAAGCATTAGGCCTAACCATTCAAAATAATCTGAAATGGGACGAACATATTCGATCCATAATCGTGAAAGGTTCCAAACGCTTGTACATCCTCGGAATTTTGCGACGGAGCGGTATTCTACCAGCTGACCTCATTAAAATATATTCCGCTCGATTTTGGAATATAGTTGCGAAGTTTGGAGTAATTCGTTGCCCCAATACCATTCTGATGAATTGGAAAGACTGCAAAAAACAATTAAGTAATGCGTATCATATTTCCTGGCCATCCCTACGACGAAGTATTGGTGATGGCGGGTTGCGAAAGATTAGATAATAGACGAAACAAAATCTGCATAAAAACTTTGAGCAAAATTATTAAACACGGCCCCCTGCAGAGCAACTGCTCGCCAACACAACACCAGGAATTCAAATGACTTATCATTATACAAGTATAGAACAGAACGTTTCAAAAACAGCTTCTTCCCAAGCACAATTGCAAAGATAAATACATAAAATAAGTAATTACAAATAGCCAACTTTCCTATCGCTTTCTTATTCCATTTTTAAACAACTTCTTGTATACCTTTTTATATACCCATATGTACAATGTAAAATATTTCTTCTTTTTAACTTTCTTAAATTTGTAAACACTTTGCAATTCAAATCTTATTTGCGATAAAAGTGTAAATAAACCATCAATAATAATAATAATAATAATAATAATAATATTTTATTTAATTTGAATGATAGAGAACAAGCGACGTTTTTGGCACCACGTACGTATATCAACCGGAAATAAATTAATTGAGCAATTACAGACGGGGACTGATTGCGACAGCCGTTCTTGTTCGAAAACGAGAACGGAAAACTGCAATGACTACCGTTCTTGATTTCATGTAAGAACTGCTGACTCCGCCACTCGCCATTTATAACAATTCGTATATTGAAAATTGATATAGTTATTTTTTAACTACTAACTAGCCCATAGTGTTTCTTTTAGCAATCCTCGATGTAACACTGCAGGTAAAACTGGGCAAAAACCGGCATGTGTAATATTTATTATAAAGTCAAAACAATTCAAACTAACGAACATTTTACGGCGATAAAATATTTTTATATGCTTTAAAGACATTAATCATATCGAAATTAACTTAAATCACTTATAGGTATAATATGAGCAGACGCACAAATATTTCACGCCTTATTTTCAGCAAGCCCTTGCGAGCAAGCTGGCGTTTTGTCAACAAAACAACAAAATCCACTAGGCATCTTTATTACTAAATAGTTTCGTACCACAGTATGTGGCACTCTTCAGATAAATTTATATATATATATATATATATATATATATATATATATATATATATATATATATATATATATATATATATATATATATATATATATATATATATATATATATATATATATATATATATATTTGTGACATTTAAATTCACCTAATGAGTGTGGCAAGCATTGCTTGTCATACGATACAAGTTTGTAGTTAATAAATCTTATGAAGTAAACCAGGTTTCTTTTATCTTTATCTTTATATTAGCTCTATACTTCGGTATATAGAGCACTCTACTCATATATGATTCTAAATACATAATATATATACAAAAATTAGGTTTTGTTGGTTTTAAAAACTTTTGGCAAAGTGCTCAATGGAAAACCAGAGCATATTTAAATTAAGGTGCAACAAATCAACAAAATCCACTAGGCATCTTTATTACTAATTAGTTTCGTACCACAGTATGTGGCACACTTCAGATAAATTGATATATATATATATATATATATATATATATATATATATATATATATATATATATATATATATATATATATATATATATATATATATATATATAACATATATAGCTCAAATCAACGTCATGGAAGGAGATATAATATTCATGAATATCGACCCTGGTTACAATATTGCTCTTCATGCTCTTGAAGAACTTGACAAAAAAAGACGGCTTGAAGTACTGAATCAACAACGCTCGTGGCTGGAGGCAATACAAAGCAATGTCGATGGCGACAACAACATCTTTGCTTTCGGTGGGGAAAATGCAAGACCTGACGAAGGAGCTTCTGCGTTTGGAGAAACGGCGTCCGCTGTTTTCCGAATGGTGATGCTACGTGCTGTCGAAATTAACGAAGATTGGTGGCCTGAACTTCGAAAAATACGATGAAAAGAAACAAAAAAGCCTTGCGGTTTTAGGTATTAATCAGTTCTCCTTTTAAGCTGCTCGACGAGGAGAACGACAACAAAGATACAGCGCGACGGTGTTGGAGAAAATACGATCACGTGTTCCACGTGAAAAAAAATTCTTAATTTAAGAAAAAAATCTTAAAATAAGAAAATAATTTTCTTAGTAAGAAAAAATTTTCTTGTAATAAGAAATTTTTGAATCCCAACATATCTTTTTCTTAAAATCAGAAAAAATTTTCTGAATAAGAAAACATTTTCTTAAAATAAGAAAATTTTTCTTATAATTTCTTAGTTATCGCGAAAGCATTTTCTTAAAAAAATTCGATTTTCTTACTTGAAGAATATGTTCGTAAGACAAGAAATGAAATTCTTTAATTTCGTTGAAAAAATTCTTATTTCGTTGAAAAAATCCATAATATTCACACTAATCTTGAAAATATGGGGCACGATTTACCCGAGTTTGAAGTTTATAACACATCTGAAACAACTGCTCATCTAAGTAACTTTAACACACTAACCGAAGAAGATGTTCGAACGCTTATCAAAGAGTGCGGAAAAAAGAACTCTGCTGTCGACCCCATGCCAACGTCACTGGTGATCGACCTAATCGATGTGTCATTACCGACTATCACCAAGATAATTAATCTGTCATTGGACTTAGGGACGTTTGCTGACGTCTGGAAATGCGCTCTTGTACACCCGCTCTTGAAAACTGTCGGAGTGGATCTACTTTTCATGAATTGTAGACCTATAAGCAACCTACAGTACATTTCCAAATTAACTGAGAAAATTGTATTTAGTCAGACCCATTCGCATATGATGGCCCACTCATTATATCCTGAGCTACAATCATCTTATCGTCGATATCATAGCACTGAAACCGCACTGCTCAAAGTTACAAACGATATCCTGCTAAAAATGAACTCGCAAGAAGTTACTTTACTGGTTACACTTGATCTAAGTTCCGCGTTTGACACTGTCAATCACGAAATATTGCTTCGCCGTCTCCGAAATGAGTTTGGCATTCACGGCAAAGTCTTGGATTGGTTCAAATCATACCTGCACAACAGAGGCCAGCAAATTTCTATCGAAGGTATACTATCCCAACGTTTCGATTTGGACTCAGGAGTTCCACAAGGGTCGTGCTTGGGTCCCCTTCTTTTTATTATATATGCATCCAAGCTGTTTAAAATAATTGAAGATCAGCTTCCCGACTCACATGGTTATGCCGACGATACACAGCTCTACCTCAGTCTTAAGCCAAGTTTAAGTACGTCACAGGAAGACGCTTTATGTGCGATGGAGTCTTGTATCGATAAGATAAGACGCTGGATGATTCAGGATAAACTCTTGATGAACGATGGCAAAACTGAATTCTTGGTCATTGGCACTCGTCAGCAATTATGTAAACTTCAGCCTATCAGCATTTCAGTTAATAATTCTGTGATTTCTCCTAGCCCGCATATTAAGAACCTTGGCAGCTGGTTGGACTCGAACTTAAACATGACGACTCATATCACAAAAGTATGTAAAGCCTGTTTTTTCCACCTGCATAATATCAGACGAATTAAGAAATATCTATCAAGACACAACTTACTGATCCTAGTACACGCTTTCATCACCAGCAAGCTCGACTACTGTAACAGCTTATTCTACGGTCTCCCTGGAAAGCAAATATCTAAACTACAGCGTGTTCAGAATGCCGCTGCAAGATTAGTAATGGACGTTCCAAAATATTCTCATATTACGCCCGTACTGTATGAACTACACTGGCTTCCGGTACATGCAAGAATACAATTCAAGGTGTTACTATTTGCTTTTAAAGCTATACACGATCTAGCACCATCTTATATTAAGGATCTCATTAATGTCAAATCGAAGTCGTCCTTCAACTTAAGATCTAACAATGGCACTCTACTGGAACCTCCAGCAGGCAGGATGCTTACAACCTTGGGTGCCCGATCCTTTCACGCGGCTGCACCTCATCTTTGGAACAGTCTTCCACTTGGTATACGTTCACTTACATCTATTGACTTGTTCAAAAAATCAATTAAAACTCATCTTTTTAGGAACGTTTTTACTGACTTTTTATAAGATACGAATATTGAATTTTAAGAATGTTAATATTTAATAAATTCATCAGTAACAATGTAAATAATCAATAATGTAAATATTGTATCTATTCTTAACTCTGTGAAGCGCTTTTGATCAATTGTTGTAAATAGCGCTATATAAGTAATAAATTTATTGTTATTATTATTAATACAAAATTATAAAATAGTAAGACATTATTACTTAAATTTTCGAAGCAAGAAAATGTAAAATGCTAGTGTTATAGGACAACTTATATCTTAACAAGACTTAGAATAACGTAGCTATATCTTATTGCGTTAGGTAAATTTGTAGTTTTTATTTCGAATTGAAGAGACTATATGACCGGCAGCTCACGGTTGATCAAACACTAAATGGCCGGCAGTACATTGACTATATAGTTAAAGTTGAATCTTCGGTATAAGATAGATAAACCGATCCCCAATTCCAAACCTTTCTCTAACCCTAACCCCTAACCCTAACCTTTTGAGAGTTAGACCGGCTGCCGGTAATATAGTCACTTTGTTTTTATTTCGTTTCCAAAATTTGAGTTGGTTTCAGTTTTATTGAATCGCTGAAGAGAATTTTTGCCCTCCGGAATTTTTATCCAAGCTTTATCCAAGCCAAGCAGGAATAGTTTGCCATAGTTCGCGTATCCACTAAACGCCTGGGGCCGGTTGTATCAAAGGCGTTTAACTTAAACGGTGTTTAGCCGCTATCCAGCGTATAAATTTCTTATCCAGCGGATAGTTAAACGGCCGATAAAATTGCGTTGTATGAAGCCCGTTTAGCACCGCGTTTAACTATCCGTAGGATAACCTTTAATTTAACCGGAGAAAACCGGATTTTCTTGAAATTTCCTACCTCTACGTCAGCTGTTGCTAGGCCTTTGTAAACTGTTGAAGCTTTATCTAACTTGTGAATTCCACTAAGCTTTTGCAATAAAGTTTGTTGTTGTTTTTATTTGGAGTTTGCTCGTCCATTCGTTGCTGCAAATCTATATCAAACTTTTCATTTTCACATTGTGCTGAGTTTCTCATTCACTTAAATTCACTTACGGATATTTCTTTAAAGATTTTTGGCTTCTTTATACGAAGAGTCGCAGGCAATAGCAAAAACTGTGAGTTGCATGTATTTGGCTTTTGTCAGTTGATTCAGTTTTATACTGTTTGAAATTTGTTCCTCGACCTTGCACTTTTGTACAAAACAATTTTAAGAACATTTTGAACCACGTTTTGATTGGCTGATCAAAGCGATTAACGCGAGCGAACAATTTTTTTTCGACTTTCGGCGTCTTGTTGTCTATTTTGTATACTTGTTGGCTTTCCAAAGTCATTGTTTGTTTTACAATGGCTAAAATTGCGAGTCTTACTGCTTGTTTTCAAACTATATAATAGAAGAAAAGAAGAAGAAAAAGCCAGAGTATATATACTTAACATCTAAACATGACACTGGTGTGCGTAAATATAGCAAAGCCACGGAATTACAAGTGTACTCAGTGTACCTCAAGACCAAGCCAGTTAAAAGTGAGTTTTTCATGTTTATTGGATTTAAAAAGATAACTCCTCCACATGATTGTGCATTTTTATAACTATCCCATGCTTTTTCATCCGAAATAATCATTGTTTTATCTTCAAACTCCGAGTTTATCCGCCGTATAGCGATTTAAACGGTCTCAAGAGACCGTATAAGTTTACACGGTGAATAGGCAAAATTTAACCGGTGGATAGCGCTAAACGGGCTTGATACAACGCGATTTCTTGAGCGTTTAAATTTTATCCGGCGGATAGCGAGTTAGGGCCATTCCATTTAATGTCCACACACCCCCTACAGATGAGTTTTTCTGAAGGGTGACTCAAAAAGTCGTTTCCGAGGGGTTAAGCCTGTCGGCATCCTTTGATCTCTGCGATTTTTCTGAGGGGTAAGGGGAAAATTCACAAATTTCTGAGGGGTGTTTCGTGTCGGCACTTTGATCTTTTTTTCTTAGGGGTTAAAATTTTACTGACCTCATCCGTAGGGGGGGTGTGGATTTTAAATGGAATGGCCCTTAATTAAACGGTGGTTAGCGAATTAAACGCCTTTGATACAACCGGCCCCTGGTACCTAGTTTACCTTTTAGAACGCGGAGAATCGCGGGATAGCGTCGTTTTACATTTTTGTGAAAAATTTTATAATAATTATGGAATTCACAGCGCCTTCAAGGCAATTTAAATGGCAAATAACGATGGGAAAAGCATCATAAAGTCCTTAAAATGTTGTTCAGATACCACAGGTAAGAACAATTGTATATTTGACTTGTTATTTAAACATATTCATTGCGAAATAATGTAGTGATTATGACTGTTTACTTGAGCGAAGTGTGAAAATATTCCATTGAATGTTTGAATTTGCCGCGTTCGTTTTGCATATAAAACATGCAAATGTTGCTTTCAGGCAAGGGACGGAAGATCAAAATATAAATTCAAATCTATTGTTGTGAATTCCATACTAATTTACGCACTAATATTAACAATTTGACAATATTAGGGGGCCTATTAGATTGCCTTTGACATTGGCACTTTGCTAGACCTTTGTCAAGACTCAAGGCTATATAATGATATGAAATAAGATATACATACGGGTGTTTTTGAAGATCTGTTAGCATTTTAATACTTGAATGAGGATTGGAATTACACTTATTACAGGAGAATGACAGCATTTAATCTGATATTTTCAGTGTATTGATAGCTGAATAACTGAATTGCATCCTACTCTATTGTTTACCCTGTCTAATGCCAGAGGATTTTCCTACTTGCCTTGCCGGATAACTTGGCTACTGTAGAGAATGTTTAGTTTTCCCGACTTACTATACTTCACCCGGGAAACTCTGCAACCCTAGATAGAATGTATATGCCTTTCATTTAAAATAATAGCCCAAAAATACATACAAATCATTAGGTATGTTTACAGCTTTCCTCCATTTCTAGCAGCTTATTTTTGCATATTTTGTAATCATGTTTTTTAAACCTTTTGAATGATCCAAATTGTGTTTGTATTTTGTCATTGTGCAGCAATCATGGGGTAACTTGATTTCATATATAAATAGACTGCTTTTTTGTCCTGCCTGAGTGAATAACTCACCTTGCCGGGTAACTCGCCTACTGATGTACCGATATCCATATTGGTGTATCAGTCATCTTTGAATTTCGTGAAATGACATAGAATATCGGTATCGGCAAAGTATTGGTCTTTTATTATCAGAATATCGGTGAATTTCCATATATCGGTGCATCACTAATACAGTTCAAGATTGTGTTTATATGAGAAAATGCCATCCTGCACGCCGGGACAATTTTGTTATGTTGACATTGTTTTGACAGTTGTTAAAAATAGCATCTTTGAACATTCATCCTGGCCCAGCCTGCTTGTGAGTGTATATATGTGGAGAAATTTTCATCCCGATAAGCAACATTGTGGCATCAGAGCCAACCTGCTTGTGGATCTATATAAACACATGATAATTTTTTCTAGATAAATATACCTAATGCAGTAAGATCTTGCTTACCGGGCTGTCCCGCTAAGCGGTCCAGCCCAGCTTCCATAAATACAGCTGGTTTAAAGAACCATGGACAGCAACCGGAAGTAAACTATACTGTCAGTAACTGTGTGACATGGTATTGGACAAATTATTACATTTCTTAATATTGCAGCTTTGGTGCATGACTAAGGGTTAATAGTCTACTGGGCACTTGCCACAAGAAAATGATAACTGAATCCAGGACATCTGTATCTGCCTACAGCCATGTCTCTGCTTAATAAAACTTATATAACAGTTTAATTAATACTCCCTCTTTCGTCTTCTACCAATATGAACAGGTGATTGGCCGATTATAACATTAAACAATAAACCCTTTGAATTAGATAAGAATGATATTATATTATAAATAATATTAAATTAATTATATTAATGAATTATATTATAAATGAATTATATTATATTATAAATAATAAGTCATAAAATTAATACTGGTCTATCTTTTTAACATAGACAGATTTTCATATTTTTTACTGGGGTGGTGCCAAAAATTTTAGGGGTGTGAGCCGTGAGCAGGTGACTGAAGCAACACAAAGTGTCACCATACCCCAGTAAGGTCTATATTCTAGAGGTGGAGCACTAGAGATATGAGGAGGTGTCTAGAGAGCAGAAAACAAAGTATCCCTGGAAAAATTTAAAAAAATCATGATTCCTAGCTTTGAAAAACGTTTTTTGAAGTGGTCATATCAATGGATTTGGCATGTCCGATTGTCTGATGAGACTTGGGAGAGTTGAAGTTAAATGAACCTGTAAAAGTGTAAACCTAATAGGCCAATACACAATATGCTTTTACCAGTTTTATAAAGTCATTGACATTGTGTCGTTTGAATCCGCGGAATACATTTTATGATGCAACTCCAATGTAAATAATAATTGGAGCATAAAGATTAAATCTAGGCAAGTCTATTTTTTAAAAGAATTAAAAACTAAAAATAATGTTCGTAAAAAATCCAAATGTTCCTTCCGAGCAAGCTAAGTACTGTATTTGCATGAGAAGGCACTGCAAACTCTATTCAGGGGAAATAATAGAGTTTCAAAACTTTACAATTGCTCCAATAAACGAGTGAATGCACTGTCTTTTTCTATTTGAGTGTACTCCTACATTTATTTTATATCATCAACACTCTGCATGTTGGAGTGGACTATTTAATTATTTTTTATTATGCCAAATGTTGGGGGGTGGGGGACAAGTTTCCAGGTCTATTGTTCTTGCAATTTTGTATATATTATAGCTATTTCAATTAAGGTTGTCCGCAAGCAAAGCAGAAAAATGGAATACAAGCGCGAAAGGCTGCTGAAAATCGCTAATAAATTCATTTATATTTCTGTATATACCACATATAATACTTAGAGTGATGATTACATTCTCATAAGTAAACTTTTCCTTTTACAGATTACTAGCTGTATAAGGATGTATATATGATGGATCTCCAGTGGCATTTGCATGATGTGTTTGGAACAGTGTTTAATGTGCATTATAAAGAAATTTATGGACTTTGAACAAACGGTTTGTCAGATAATATTGCTTGTCATGTGGAAAGAGTTGAAAAATTACTGCTTCAGGTCTTCAGGAGAACTTAAATTTGCTACAACACATTGCTGTGCAATCAGAACTACACCTAGTTGTACAGTGGCGTAGCTAGCGAAACTCGACAGGTCCTGCTCTAAAACTCACACATTCTTGGAGGGTCCGTGGGCATGATGCCCCGGAAAATTTTTAATTTTAGAAGTCTGGAATGGCCATTTCCTGCGATTTCACGGCGAAATACTCCAAAGAGAACATCAAAAAATTGTGTGATTTAGTGGAAAATTTTTGATAATTTTTGAAACCGTATATCCATATTTATCATATTTCACTATATATTTTTCAGCTTATAAATTTAGCTAAATATAGTCAAGTCATGTAATTAAGAGGAAAATATGGTAATCGTTCCATGTTTTGCACACCAATATACTCAATATAGTAAACGTTATGTAATGGATATTATTACAGTGTACACACTGAAAAGTTAACTGGATACCTCCATACACGTATATACATACCCTACCCTATCCCTAACCTTAAACATAACCCCTAACCCTAACCTAATCCTAATACCTAAACCCTAACCCTAACTTATATTGGTGCGCGAAACATGGAACGATAACCGAAAATATCATGTTTTCAATACACGTCTGTAATATGATCTTTCACTTGGTCAACGTGCAATTGCGTAACTCAACAATTGTTGTAGACTTGGATCAAGTCCGTCTCTCTACAATTGCTGTAGTGCCTGTTGAATTTACAGCACTATATATACGGCTAGCATTCGTTAAAAAATTACTAATGTGTTAATAATAAGCAATTATTGGATGAGGCTGAGCATGATATCAAGAATTATTCAGACCGAGGTCAATGTTATCTGCCGAAGCGAAGCTGAGGCGGATAACATAGACCGAGGTCTGAATAATTCTTGATATCATGCGAAAGCCGAATTCAATAATTGTTTTATTATACATTTAAAGACATGAGAAACGTATAAAATGATTCCTGTTCATGAGGTAGGAAAAGTACAATTTGAATATCAAACACCTTGCACAAAGTCAAAGGTCAGCTAAATATTCTATTTCTACTTCTATTTACCCCTTTGTGGCTTTTTTCGTGCTTTCACTATCCTTATCTGCCAATAATTTGGAGAGTTCACTTTCATTCAGCAAAGCAAATCTGCTGTAGGCCATTGTTTGTTTGTTTTTTTCGCGCGCTTATAGGTTCAAGCTTTTGGCAGC